GGGTTTGAAATCCTACTGATGAAACGGCAATCGTTGATGTGTTTGCCGGTATAGCCATGGAAAAGAAACCGTTTGCATCTGATACGGTACCTACAGCAGTACCCTTGGCTGTTATGGTTGCACCCACCACCGGTTCGCCACGCTGATTGCGTACTACGCCGGTTATTCTATTACTTCCGTCAAACGATGAAGCTATTGCTGAGGCACCACGGATGCGAATCTGGCTGCTGGCTTCAGGATAATAATAACGGAGATACCACGGTGACAAAACTGGCTTTGTACTGTTTTCATCAGGATTACCGGTTGACAGGAACAGTTTTACCTCTTTCCAATCTTCACCTGATTGTTGCTTGATGTTTGCTTTCACTTGCAGAGCCAGCGGCTGGCTGATGTCCTGCACACGAATATCGTATGTCGGATACCAGGCGGATTGCCTGACGAGATACGATAACCGGAAATTCGCCATCGTCGCTTCTTTTACATCAATGGCCACCACCACTTCACTCGTCGACAGATCTTTTTTCTCGTTAAGTTCCGTCAACTGGCGATTGATCTTACTAATTTCTGTTTCTATTTTTTTAAGGTTGTGGTCTGTATCCTGCAATTTCGAATAGAGCTCAGTCAACCGGGCACGCTGGAAGTCAGCGGACTCTTTCAACTCCGCGGCTTTTAACGTTGCATCGCCTTTTATGTTCTGGTTGGCAATGATCATTTGTATTTCCTGCGAATACACACTCTTCATATTATTTTCTGCCGTTAATTTTTCGTTCCAGGTGTCTTTTTGTATCCTTAACTGTTTATTTTCTTCCTGCATTTGTTGTTCTTTCAAAAAATTTACCTGGTGAGTAACGGAAAGAATAGTCAGTTTGCCATCAGCTTTAAGTTGAATACTCTTTTTATCGATAGAAGGGGAGATCCCATTGAAGACAATATTGTATTTACCAACCGGCAGGTTTTGTTTTGCCACCCGCTCCACCTGGGCGCCCTGGAGAAATACAGTGACCTTCTCAATTTTACTGGTGATCGTTTGATTTTCTTTTTGGCTAAAAGCTGCCAGGCATGACAGCGAACAGGCAAGCAGCGCGATACTCATTCTCATAACAATTGTTTTGAAAATGATGCGCTCCCGATCGCAATTGCACAGGGACTAAAAGCAAAAATCCCGGCGGAAGCCAGGATTTTTTATTTTTTAAGAACGTTATTGATATCAGGCGACTGCTTTTTTCACAAGATCCGCTGCTTCACTCAGTAAAATGGCAGATTGTACTTTCAGACCACTTTCGTCAATAAGCTTTTTAGCTTCTTCCGCGTTTGTTCCCTGCAGACGTACAATAATCGGGATCTTAATATTGCCCAGGTTTTTATAAGCATCGATCACACCTTGTGCAACGCGGTCACAGCGAACAATACCACCAAAGATGTTAATGAGAATAGCTTTTACAGCGGGGTCTTTGAGGATGATCTTAAAACCGGCTTCTACCGTTTGTGCATTGGCGGTACCACCTACATCCAGGAAGTTGGCGGGCTCACCACCGCTTAATTTAATCATGTCCATGGTGGCCATGGCAAGGCCTGCACCATTTACCATGCAACCAACGTTACCATCCAGTTTTACAAAGTTGAGGATTGTACTTTCCTGCTTCCACTTCAGTAGGATCTTCTTCTGACGTATCTCTCAACGAAGCGAGGTCAGCATGACGCATGAGAGCATTATCATCCAGGTTCATCTTACAATCTACCGCTACGATCTTATTGTCAGCCGCTTTAAAAAGCGGGTTGATTTCAAGCATGGAACAATCAAGACCTACGTAGGCGTTATACAGATTCGTGACGAACTTTACGCAATTCTTAAATGCATCGCCACTCAGACCGAGGTTAAAAGCAATTTTTCTTGCCTGGAAACCTTGTAACCCACCTGAAGGGTGCACCCACTCTTTAAATATTTTATCGGGTGTATTGTGTGCCACATCTTCAATGTTCATACCGCCTTCGGTGCTGTACATAATTACGTTCTGGCCTTTGCCCTGTCAAGCAATACAG